TGCCCAAATGTCCCCATCATAGCCTGGCCCTTTCCTAAACGGAAAGTGGCCGGGCTCACTGGCTGCTCGCCTGGGACGCGCTCGCGCCCAGGAGTTTAACTTCGGTTCAAAGTGTCTGCGCCCAAGCCCGTTCAGACAGTGGCCCGGGACCGAATTGGTTAGGGATGCCCAACCACCCAGGCGCAAACGTGGTGTTCCCTGCTTTCCCACGTTGCTGGAGGAGCCTGGAAGGCTCACGAATACTTCCGATTCTCACGAGCAAGGCGGATGTGACCAACTGGCCCGTGGCAACTGTCTGGTGCCCACCAAAGCTTCCAAAAGTTTATGAACTCAGGCCTCATGGAAATTCGGGGGCCCGCCTTCACTTACGGCGGGCACATGCTTGCTGTGGGGGACCCTCACGGGCATGCCGAGGATCTAAATCCTCGCAGATTGACTAGTCCAAATTTTTAATTTCAGTAATGTACAAATATCTCTTTATTCTTTTCAAAAACCTCCCTGCTCGCCACGATTGCCAAATTTTGTTGGGCCTGAATGTTCCCTGAAAAGGCTGGAGTTACCTCACAGGTAAGTGTACCTGGGCATCTTCTCTGCAACAGGTGATGCATCAATGCACCTAGCTATCTATGCTGTACACCTACATTCATCCAGGGGCAATAAGCTCATGCAGAGCATCTAGCTGGCAACGAGATCTTTCTCATGCAACATAGGATATCCTCCCTACAGAACAGTTCTTTCTCTTTCTAACGAGTCCTACACAATAGTTCTACTCTCAACACCACAATCAGAACTTCCTGATGCTTTCCATTTCCTTTTCAGCATCAACTTCGACCTTGGTTTTCCACGGGCAGATAAAAAGTCTGTGTGCGAGCTCACCTCGCTCTACCTCATGGCTCTTTTCTTGAATGAGAAACTCGTCGTATTATGCAGGACATCACATTTCTTCCCTCCCAACTGGTTTGGCACCTTCCCAATGGGAACCATTTGACGGGGAGGAAGGCATCTCTTCATAGGGTCCAATGAGTGGGTGCTTGATGTCAGGAGAAAATACCCTCATGTTTCCTTTTGGAAAGGGTTCCATGATTCTAAACCACCAGTACACAGCGCCAGCCTTGCAGGAAGACAGGTGCAAGGAAGAGCAAACATGTTTCAAATCTGGAGGTAGCTGGAGTTTGAAATTTACAAGGGAAGTTTGGGCGATGATCGGGAATCGGCCAAACCGCTTGTTACAGAGCTTGCGAATAAGGCCATTGTAACTGGTCCGATGATCGGGAATCGGCCAAGCCTCTTGTTACAGAGCTTGCGAATAAGGCCAAGTGATTCCCAAGCTCTGTAACAAGAGGCTTGGCCGATTCCCGATCATCGCCCAAACTTCCCTTGT